TAAGTCCTTTCTCATCAACAACATAGCCTAAGAAAGTCAAAGATGAGCGAGCAAAATGACATTTATCAAAATTTACAGTCAAGTTAGCATCTTTCAATCGATTATAAACTTCTTTCAGTATCCTTAGGTGAGTTTCAAAATCAGGAGTTGCCACAATTATATCATCCAGATAATAAAAAACATATGGTTCCAGATCAGGACCGATAACCATGTCTAATAATCGACACATTGCACTTGAACTATTAGAAAGGCCAAAAGGAAGTCTTCGAAAGCAATACATTCCTTTACCACGAACTATGAAAGCTGTTTTTAATTTAGATTCTTCATCAAGTGGAATCTGGAAGAATGCTGATTTTAAATCAATGGATGATAGATATCTGGCATCTCTGATTTTAGAAATTACAGAGTCTATTAAAGGAGGAGGATACGCGTCAGGAATTGTTACTGAATTTAGTTTTCTACCATCAAAACAAACTCTATATGAACCGTCTTTCTTGGAAACCAGCCAGAGCGCTGAACACCAGGCACTGCTGCAAGGTTCTATAATACCCATGTCCAACATTTCATCAACTTGCTCAATAAGGGCTTTTTCCATTACATGAGAAAGAGGATATTGTCTTTGCCTGATGGGCTTTGCATCACCTGTGTCAATGTGATGTGTATATAAATGTGTACAACCAATACTGTCAGTAGGTGCAATGCTATTAAAAAGTTCAACAATTTCAAATAATTGTTCCTTTTCCATATTAGATAGCTTCTCCATGCCTTGAATACAATTCACAGCACAAGATTGATATGAAAAAGTATGAAAATCAAGGTTGAAATTGAATTTTAGGATGAAATCCATGCCTAAAAGTAATGTGTGTGTAATGGAAGGAACTATTATGAATTTAATGACATGAACTTTGCCATTAAAACCTACTGGTAGCAAAACAAAACCTAAAGTATTTTGCATCTGGCCATCAGCAGTTGTTAATTGCAAGGTACTACTGCAATCTATGTTGAGATTTAATTTACGTAATAAGTATAAGCCAGATGAACCTAGAATGTTGGCATTGCTTCCAGTATCAAGCAAAGCTAAAATGTTTTCATCACCAATAGATATTGAAAGATGTGGACGATTGTCATTTGGTTTTTGAATAAATGGTTCTGAATGATCATTTGATGGCATACCTGCAAGTTGTGAATGATTAATGTCAAAATCGGGATTAATTGCTGAAGGTTGTCTTAACTTGGCTATTTGTTGGACTTCAGAATTAGACCTGGAGTTGCTTTGCCCTTTACGTCTATGACTCCTCGAGTCTGGGCGAAAGAAGTTCCGGGAGTCGGATTGGAAACTTCTTGCCTCACGTTTTTTGAACAGGAAGGACAATTAGAGCGCGTGACATTTTTCATACCACAGGTATAGCAATAAACAGCCTTAGGAGTTCTACAATCTCGAACAGAATGTCCTAGTTTCTCGCAGTTCCAACATACAGGAGCTTTTCTGTGAGATGATGGAGTACTATTAGAAGTAACCAAGCTGGAAGTGGAAAGTCTATTGTGGGGTTGACAAGTCAAGAAGGAATCCTCTAATTTCCTACAAAGTGATGTTAGTTCAGGAAAAGTGGAAATTTCATGAAGAGCAAGTGACTTTATGAAGTCAGGCAATAAATTTCTACGGACAATATTGACCATGTCCTTTTCTGTAAACGTATTGTAGGTTAATCTATTGAATTGAGATTCCATGAACGAAATGAAGATCGTAACATGTTCATGCTGACCTTGTTTGCATCTGCGAATCTCATCAATTAGGTTCATATCATAATTGTCACGTAGAAAAGCATCCTTGAGTTGTTTAATCAAGTCCTGCCAATCATGAAAGCTATTTCTTAGATGGCCATTATGCCACCATGTCCAGGCTACATCTTCAAAGAGATCACCTGCAGATGCAAAGAGATCCATCTCATTGCAACCACGGGAAGACATTAGAGATTCGACAATTTCTAGAAATTCAATAACTGAGCTATTTCCAGAAAATTTTTTGATTCCCCATTTGAAAACTGGTATCTTTTATGTGGAGCAAAATTTATAGGAGAGAGTGGCTGTGTATGTACTGGAGTAAATACTTGAGGATTAGCAACAGTCACAGGCGGATTTGATGCCAATGGAATAGGACGAGATGAAACTGATGGAGGAGATGATTGAGCAGATGGCATCTCAAGCTTCTCTAAAAGATCAGATTCACGCACAACAAGTTGTGTCTTTAATCTAGATTTTGTTCTTATCTCCTCATCACAAGTAGGAGACATTCGATCTATCCTACCAGATAGATGCAATAAGCGCACACAAATTCTGCGATGTTCAACTGAATCAAATGCACCAGTAAATCTAGAGATCATCTCAGCGAGTTTATTGAATGAGAGTCTTATCTCAGTCTCATCCTCATCAAAAGGAATAGTTACAGACGGTTCTGAGAAACTACGCCCTTGACATTCTTGTGCTAATAAGCCACGTAAAACTTTACGTTTATCCTCCACGGTATTAGGGACTTCCAAACCTCTGATATGAATCTCGTAGTGGAGTTCATGACTTAATAAGTCATTTGGGCTTAGTCTAGACTGAACCATGATTGAGAAATAAACCTCAAAGAAACACTTGAAAGAAAAAAAATTAAAGAAAAAAACCTGAATACGTCAATAAATGACAAGGATCCAAAACACTATAAAAAACTAACAATACAAACAAAAAGTTTCAATACAAAAACAGGAGCAGCCAAATCTTAAAAAAAATATTTTATATCTGACATACATTAAACAAGTACAGAGACGTTCAAGTCCTGTTAATCCAATGGAAAATCAGACACTAATGTTCTAATTTCCCCCAAAGAATATGCCAGATAAAACTATAAAACCATAAAAATTATGAAAACTTATGCTCCAAACAAGAGACAAAATTACTACAATAGTTACTGAGGAACGTATACTATTTCAACAACAAGTTGAAATTTAATTATCATGAATGAGTATGTGTGTCTTTGTATAGGTAAAAATGATTTAGGAGTCACCCCCCCCCCATTGAAAAGTAGCAAAAAAAAATATAGTCAAGAAAAACATAATTTGTTTCTTGAAAAAAAAAGAAAGGTAAGTATCAACGCATGTCCAAGTGTCAATACTTGAAAAAAGTAAACCGCCAAAATATACGAAAAATTATGAATATCAATTTCATACAATTCAGACAAATGGATAAATCGCAAAATGATTTACTCCAGATAACTCTAGTCAGTAGATTATTGCCATCAGAATGAAAACAAATGATCAAAAGTTCAAGTACAGTCAAAAATTCAAAAAGTAAAAACATTTGGGGAAGGCAAACATAATTTTGAAAGTAAATTTCCTACGTACCAAACATCGTGAGAGCTATATCAGTACACCAGAGATCCAACAATTAGGCTATATATGCATACATGAAAAGTCTCAAGAAATCAAAAAACTGCACATGAAGAAATACTTTCAAAAACTAAGAGGTTAGTGATCAAAAATGAAAAGCATATAAGAATATATAAACTATCAACAACAATAGTCACAACCTCAATCAAAAGTTTGATGATATTCGACAAAATGCTGGGAAACCTAAAGTCCCCAGACTATCAATATTCAACAAAAAATTATCAAAATATCATCAATCTCAAAAGTACAATGAGAAAAAAGTTATAACTGTCCCCAGCAGTAAATAAAAACTATAGTAGTATGTGAAAAAAAAAATTCTGGCAATGATCTCGCTGACTAATAAACAAGACAATTTTAAAAGTTAATAAAGCATAGTACGCCTATGAAATAAACAGGTGGAAAAATTTTAATCTTTTGATAAAAATTTTAAACATTAAGTAAAAAGTAAGGATGATTCAAGAATTAGAAATTTGAGTACCAAAAGCAATTAAAAATAGAAATGCTGCCAAAAATTGTAAAGAATTTTGAAAACTATGTTCTGTCTGCCAATCTTCCACTAGCAAACCACTTGTCGACAAAGCCAAACACCAATCGATGCCCCACGTTGCGGGTGCCAATTTTTGTAACGCTTCCTTTCCGCAAAAAAGTCCAGAAAAGATGGAATGCAATGAAGATTCCAACTTTTCTGCACAATCACAGAAAGGGGGTTACCATTAGCTTCCGGTAGCTCAGTCGGTGGCATGAAGACATCTACAGGCGTGCAGCTGTGTGTCGACCATGGCATGGCTAGAGGATAGAAGAACAAACAGAACACAAAAATTTAACAGATTTTATTTAACAAAAAAAGCATTTTCATTACATTACAATTTTAAAGTTTTAAAGAACAAAATAAGTTTTAAATCTTTGGCGCTGCTATAAAACTATACACTTATCTTTCGCTGGTCCATTTTGACTGGACTGAAGCGAGGATGGCCAGGTGCTTGAAGTGGAGGTCCCAGTTATGAGGGGTGACCTCACATATAGTGGCTTCAAAACCAGTTGTAGGCGAAGTTGAACTTAAAGGTGATAGCGCTGCCAAGGCACATGCATGGGTGAAGTGATAGGCCAAGCAAAGGCAAAAGCAAAGTCAAAGACAAAGGCAAAAGTCAAAGACAAATGCAAAGGGAAAGGGAAAGAGAAAGGGGGTGGCCCCAATCATTTTGTCCTATTCGGACACACATTCTACAAAATTCTAGCACATGGTGCTATTTGACCTCATGCTGCAGAGAACAAAATTCTTAGCTCTTGCTATATCGGCTGCTCAAGTGAAAAAGAAGCGCGAGGAAGATCGCAGATCAGGAACTCGGCATCAAGCGCGCTCCAAGCGGAAATTTTTCCAAGTAAAAAAGCTAGAGATGGGATTAATGAAATGATAATCGAGAAGTGATTTAATAAATACGATCGGACGGTGAAACCGTTACAACTGTATACAGTAAAAAATACTGTTCCGTTAAAATATGACATTCCGTTTTGTCATCGAATACTGGACGACGGAACAGTAAAAATATACGGATACGTAGAATTTCAACGGATAGATACTGTGTGCGTGGAGGGCGGTCTGTGCGAGGTGTAGGAGGGGGAGTGATACGACAGGTTTTGAGTCGCATTTTCTATTGTACATTCATAGAGAACGCGCGCGTGCATTGTGTGTAATAATTATTATAATCACTGATCAACCATGTCAACCAAGGGGTGGGAAAAGTTAATAGACCAGGAAATTTTAATTACTTTGGTGGAAGATAGGCCAGTAATTTGGGACAAGACGCTGGATAAATACAAAGACAATACTGCAAGTATTGCAGGTTGGCGCGAAATATGCGTTATTCTAATGGAGGATTTTGAGGCTATGGAACAAAGACAAAGACAAGAGTTCGGTAAGTGTCTGTTTTATTATTTAATTATATTGAAGTTCCTGTCATGGAACTGAACCAGCTTCGGACATGAAATAGTTCACGAATTCTGTTCGAACTAAATTGGCAGTATTAACACCTCGTGTTCTTACTTCATGGGGTAGGTTTTCGTAACTAAATTCTTGAGATACGTTATTATCACTGTTTGAGCCCTCTTTGTCCCTTATAAAGTTGTGTAGTAGTAATAGTACATGCCTTAACAGTCCATACAGCCGTTGTATTATCGATGTCTAGAGGCCGATGGAATATTCTCCACTTATTAGCTAAGATACCGAAGGCACATTCAACGTATCTCCTAGCTCTAGTCAAACGATAGTTGAATATTCGCTTATTTTTGTCCAGATGCGTCCCGCCAAACGGCCTTAGTAAATTTTCGTGTAATCCGAAACCTTTGTCTCCAATGACCACATATGAAACTGTCGTTTCTGAGTCTCTTGTTAATGGGCATGGTGCAGGTATTTGAGCATCATTTTCCAAAATGTTGTCTCCTTGAATATTCATGAATCGCATTCTTTTCCATAAGATCCGACAACGACGTATACAAAGCGATAGTCGGAGTCTACGGTCGCTAATAATATGATGTAAAAAAATCCTTGTAATTGATATACAGTGAACCGCTATTTAGTGGTTTTTTAAGTGGGATATGTTTTCCGTCGGCAGCTCCGAGTCAGTGGGGAAAATTAGCTTTTTTGTTAAATTCACTTGCTATCTGTTCCCATTCGTCGACTGATGTAGGAAGTCGCATAAATTTTTCACTTAAATTGTTCCATATGCATCTTGAAACTTCTTTAATAATGTTGCTAACAGTCGATACACCAACGCGATAGGTGTAATGAAGATCTTTAAATGAACACCCGGATGCTGCATACCTGAAAATAACATTGACTGTTTTATTACTTGTTTTAGGAAAACTTGTTATGAAAAAGTGGAGACAGATGAGAGATGCCTAAGTGAGAACACTAAAAGATAAAAAGAATTGCAAGACGTCTGGTTCCGCTGTCTCAAACACGAAGCCCTACAAAATACCATAATCAGATGCTGTTTTTGAAAAAAGTAGTTGCTGCTGGTGAAACGCACGAAAGCGTCTCTGCTAAACAAACTGAACAACACACTGAAGATGACACCACGACATCGAATGAACCTGCAAACGAAGATGACAGTGTGACTACAATGACACAACTTGACAATGACAGTCAAGAGGACAAACAAAATCTACCCCTCCCCGCCAAAATGCAGAGCACCAGCCAAAAGAAATTTTAATGAAATGGATGCCAAAATGATGTCCTACATTGACTATCAGATAAAACCGAAGAAAATTGAGCAGGATGATCGCAATTTATCGTTCTTCAAAGGTATTTTGCCGTCCTTGGCTTTGCTTGATGATGACCAAACTTTGTAACTCCAGTCAGGGGTGATAAACCTATTACAAAATACTAAACATAGGAGAGTTGGCCAGTCAGCTTATGACTGGTCAGCCTATACACATTATATATAACATTTGTTAGCAAAGCTTATCCAGGGTCGATATCCGACAAGAAGATTGTTGAACAGAGCAATGTTTTAAATAAAATGGTTCCTGGAGATATGATTCTAGCAGACAAAGGTTTTTTAATTAAAGACCTTCTTCCTGCTGGGGTGTCGCTCAATATTCCACCCTTTTTAACTACACCCCAGTTCACAGAGTCGCAGGTATATGAAGCACACACAGCAAATTGCAAAAGCCAGAATTCATGTAGAAAGACCCATCAGAAGAATAAAATGTTATAATATTTTGCAGCAGGTTCCACCTTATTATATATCCCAAATTTCAGTTATTTTTCAACTGTGTGCAGCTTTGACAAACTTTCAATATCCACTAATTAAAGAAGTTGAAGAATATTGTTAAACTGTTATAGTAGAACATTTGGTTTTATTTTTAGTTTATATAGAGTTTTTCTATGAACAGTTATGATTTTTGTGCGATAACATTTCAATCTGCGAAAACTGTCTCACTATTAAAGTTTATAGTTTGGATAAAAAAACATTGGTTAGTCATTAAGTGATTAGAATTTATTTTTCGACTCAAATTAATACTTTTATTAGCAAAAGTTATAACAGATTCAAATGTTATCAGGTAAAAATGATCACACTTTAGCTAATTTCATGTAGAAACTTCTATTGTATAATTATATTTTATTTAAATGTGTAGCAGGAGCACCATACTCTTGACTGCTTGCTTTGAGTTTTGTGCTTCCACTGTTGATTACATATACATCAGTAAATAAAAGTCGTATTTATTCAAAACATATTTATTTAATTTCGTAACAATTTTGGTAAATAATGTTCTATGTAGAAATTTTCTGAAAGAAAAATATTTTCCTTCTATAACTCATCATAATCTACATTTGCAACAATTGCGCCATTTAATGTCCAAATATAGAGGTAACATTTTTTCTTTTTTAAAATATGTAGAAAACCTTGAATTTGATGATAATAATTGTGACTTTTATTTAGTAACAAATTTCCTTCATCATCATAATAAATAATGTAATTTGTTAGGTTACATAATTTGTCTGTTAAATTATCATTTCTAAAGGAATATGGACATTTCACTTCCACAATGGCATCTTCTTCATCAATTAACCCATCAGGACTAGCTCCAAGGAGTCCTGAATTTGTAAACCATACTCCTGTTGATTGAATATTTAAATTATAATGTTGTTTCAAATAATCTAATGCATCTTTTTCATGAGTTCTGCCTCATTAGATTGCTTTAATGCCGTCCAGATTATATTCACCTGGGAAAAAAATTGTTTTGATGGGTTGTGGTGGCAATATATAAAATAAAAGAAATATTACAAAATGAACAATAATTCAGTATTGGGGAAAAAATGCAAACTCTGCAGGGAATAAATTAAGATGGAAAGAAATTATGCAGTCGACTTCTTTCATGAAACAGTAAGAATGAATTAGCTCTCTGTCTTTCTTATTATCTCATTACTGCTTATCTAACTTTTATTGACTGTGCATAAAAAATAACTATCAAAGCAAAACATAAAAGTAAAGGATTTGTGTTGACATTACATCCATATATGACGAAAATTTAAAACAATATATATATATATATATATATATAAACACCTAAAAGTGTTTTGAACAAACTATCTGGGAACCTCTATTTTACGCATGCAGAAATTATCAATCCAAAACTACTTGCAGTCAAACGAAATTTTCTGGCAAGATACCACTTTTCATTTGAAGCTTGACCAGTAGTGGCAGCAGCAATGTCAAGTATTGAGTTATCATCCATGGCACATTTTTCTTTGAAGATATGGACTTTTATCTGTGGCTTCCAAAAACTCCTTGGAAGAAATAATTTCTTCAATCATAGGGAAATTATTCACAGGATTTTCAGATCCCTTGTTCAACGACCAGGTAAATCCCACAGTATTTCCAAAGCTACCTAGCTTCTCCCTCAATCTTTCAATTGATTTTACTGGTACTTGATGTTCAAGAGCTTTATATGGCTTTGGCGGATAAAGTTCTTCAGCAGATTGTACCGGCTCAGACTTAGGTTTAGCTGGGGCATTCCGTAAACAAGCTTTATCTGTTACTGAGATATTGTAATGCCGAAAAACTGCCAAAGCTGCAATGTGATGACATTTTATTCCTTTTGGACAATTACTTACATCTTGCCGATTGAATATCGCCACACTTTTCCAACTCTACAAGAAAAAATCAGTTCTCGGTATAATAAGTAGATAAGATAATCATACCTATTACTACATTATAGCTTTTATTTTTCATACTGGCTAATATTTCCCCTCCTATTATCATTAAATTAGAGTCAAACTGCATTTTCTTGACATGGTTGGATTCTAACCCATTTTCTCCCTTTTTTATTATCCTGTTGTCATTATACAAGAAACCATTAATAGAAGACAGTTTTAAAACATGTTTTGAAGCCATTTTGCTCAAAATACCTGGAAATTAAAACACAATATAATAATAACAAAACAAAAATCATAACCTTCAAACTTTTTTTTTCAAGCACAATTATTGCATAAAACTGACCAACCTGTCCAAAAATGTATGCACTTCACTTAACCAATACGTTGCTTTAATGAAATATCCACACTACAATGATTATTTTGTTATAGAAGCACAAAAAATATAAAACGAAAAATTCCTTATGGCAATTTACCGTTGCAAACGAATTAGTTTGGAGTCAATTTCGGCTCCGCCCACAACTGTGACGTCACGACTTGGGCTGTCTATAAAGGGTGAATCCAGGGATGTCATGACCTCCCCACTGGGCGAGTCGAGGACGACCACCAAAGCGACCCCCCCTACTCTTCAGGTATTAGAAAGGCATTAGCTTTGAGAAACACTAATGCAGCCGAGCAAATTTTCATTTGATAAAGCTGTAAAGCCGCTCCTGTATACGGGCAGGAGCAACAAATTCACATAGATTTGAAGGAGCCAACCTATATGTTTACATTGCAATGTTTGTCATCAAAAGTCTTAATGCAAACTTTTGGCTAATTTGACTGCCATTGCCTTCCAAAGTGACAAACCAATACATCGACGTACGTTTTCTTCTCTGGAAAAGATGTTAAAATAGCTATTCGTGGTGGGTGCAAGGCAGAAATACTGTTACGATGTGAATCATTTAGTTATTGTTAATTAACAGGGATAAATTAATTAAGGCAAAGGAACGAGAGTAAATATTTATCAACGGCACAGCATCTGAACAGTTCTGCTGCTAGAATGCTTCTAGATTCGGACTTTTTGCATACTCTTATTTAGAAGGTCCGCTTTTGACGATATCTGCATGTTTCCATGAACAAATTTTAATACATTATTTATATTAATCGTTTTAAACAATTTCCAAAAAATATTTTTTTTGGGATATTGCGAACAAAAAAGGTGATTTAGAAATTTTCTCCTAAAGTTGATTATTTTCGCGATATAAGCCGTACAATATTTGATAAGGTGCAAAATATGTCATTTACGACTCCGGAAAGCAATATGGAAAAATGAAAAATATAATGTTGCCACTGTTCTTAAATATTATTAAAACATCGACCAAGAAAATCCCAGAGCATTTTAGGACGTATTCTTATTATACATTTTTATTTTTCGCTTGTTCGTCGAAAAAATTCAACAGCATGTATACAGGGTGTCCTGAAAGTTGGTACTTTCCTTATTAGAAGCAACTACGTTTGTAACAACAAAGGTAATGTGCAAAAAAACAAAAACCACTCACCCTCCATTGAAACCAAGATGAAGTATAGCTCTGCCACTTATAGGTGTTGCTCATAGTTGTCTGCGATAGGTTCTAATACACATGTAAGAGTTCGACTTTGCCAAATATCGGTGAAGGCTTTTAGAATGTACTGCCTTTCCCGACTGAATGCAGTAGATTGCTAAATTACCACACGTAGTTCGTCAACCATGTTCACCCCAGGTTTATACACTAAACAATTCATTTCGCCCCAGACAAAAAATGGAAATTACGAAGGATCTTGATAAACGATCTGCATGCGCACGCAAAGCATCGGTAGCATATCGAAGACACGAACCGTAAATTAAAATAATATGGATAGCTCCGATATTGCTGTGCCATTTTTTATTTATTTTTTAGAACCGATGTGTAAAGGCCAGCGCCTGGATTGCCTACTAATGCGCATCGTACATGGTGTGTATGTCACTAGAAAAAATTAGTTTTCCAAAATCTATACGCCGTGTAAAGGAAAGTTCCAGCTTTGAGGACACCCTGCATATGTTTTCACACGGAATCTAAAGAAGATAATGGACTCATACATCCGGTTGAATAGGAAAACTTTTATATTTCTGAGTTGCCCACTAATCGTAATACATTACGCCGCAACTCGTGATGCAATGGGAAGTAAAACGTTCTTTGATGCTAATCGAATTTAGTAAAGGGAGCATTGCCGATAATGATAATGATGATAAATCGTCGTAGGTCATCCGATTGGTTGACAGAATTGCCGGTCCCTGGGAAATTAGCTCTTGAGTGAGAGTAATTTTAGGAACCCAAGAACGAATAAACACAGTCAAAAAGAGAATGGGACGGAGAAATAGGAAGGCATCAAATTGTTTGAGGAAAATTATACAATTATATAGTCGAAATCACGATAGATGACGATTACGTCATCATTTTAGTCTGTAGTATCTTTAGTAAAGGGAGCATTGCCGATAATGATAATGATGATAAATCATCGTAGGTCATCCGATTGGTTCACAGAATTGCCGGTCCCTGGGAACTTAGCTCTTGAGTGAGAGTAAGTTTAGGAACCCAAGAACGAATAAACACAGTCAAAAAGAGAATGGGACGGAGAAATAGGAAGGCATCAAATTGTTTGAGGAAAATTATACAATTATATAGTCGAAATCACGAAAGATGACGATTACGTCATCATTTTAGTCTGTAGTAAAGACAAACGACAGCAATTTGTGAATATATTTAATGAAGTTTCTGATATGTTAGACAGAGACAAACAGAATTTTATTGTCTAAACAAACTGTATTACTAATTTGCATGTCCTGAGATCCCGCATTGCACACCAGCAGAGATTCAAGGTCATATTAAAGACCTTAAAGTGCGTAAAGCACCTGGGGAGAATCAAATCACTAATAAGGCGCTGAAGCTGCTTTCGCGGAAGTCCTTAACTTATCTCGTGGCAATAGTCAATGCCATGCTAAGCATCCAGTACTTCCCATCCGCGTGGAAGACCGCTGAAGTTATAATGATTCCAAAGAAGGTGGGTTCGATATTTCCCCAGGATAATCGTCCCATTAGCCTGCTGTCAGCTGCGTCTAAGCTCGCCGGAAAGGGGATTCTACGTCACCTTGAGAATTTCTCGTCAGATCACCACGTGATTCCTGACGTGCAATTTGGTTTTCGGTCTGAACATAGTACGGAGCTACAAGGTGTGGCACGCGGGCCTCTTGTATAAACTAATCCAAAAGGGCTTCCCTTTTTGGCTTCTAAAACTACTGAAATCCTTCCTTGAAGGTAGGAAATTTCGGATCAAAATTGACAATGTCCTGTCGACAACACGGCTGATTACAGCCGGCGTCCCTCAGGGTTCGGTCCTTGGACCTATCCTTTACTCACTGTACATCCATGACGTCCCTAGTCCCAGCAACTGTGAAGTCTATCTCTATGCTGACGATACTGCATTGGTGGCTCAGTCGTGGTCTGGTGACCTAGTCCATGACAGGCTGCAAAGTGCGGTGGAGGAAGTATTAGATTGGGCGGATCGGTGGCTAATTAAAATAAACCATTCGAAAACGCAGGCAATCAACTGTACAAAAAGACGTCGCGGCGTTCCGTCTGAAGTTTCAATGAATGGACTTCGTATACCATGGGAATCCTCCGCTAAGTATCTCGGTGTCATTCTGGACAAAGGGATGACTTGGCGGAACCATATGGAAGCGCTAAAAACTAAATTCCAAATTACGTTTCGGCAGCTTTACCCATTATTATGTAAACGGTCAAAATTAAGTTTGATTAACAAGATTCGACTCTATAAGGTGGTCATAAGACCAGCAATGACTTACGCATGTGCGGCTTGGTGTTTTATTGCTAAAACACACGTGCGAAATCTGCAGGTTCTGCAAAGCAGGACGTTGCGCACTATTGCTGATGCCCCATGGTATGTCTCTAACGAAACTCTACATAGAGACCTCGATGTCCCTTACCTAAAGGACTACATTAAGCAACAGGCGCAGCGGCGCTATAGCCTAGCGGAATCGCACAGCAACCCTCTGTTGCGTGAGTCAGTGGACCACACAGTCGAGCAAGTTCGCAAGCACAAAAGGCCGCGGCTCGCACTGTAATCAAAATTAACTCGTGAACTTAGAACAACCAAAATTGGAGCATTTTTACATAATCTTTAGAAAAAATCAAATATTTTTAGACCATATCAAAATCTGTGAAGTGATTTTAACAATGCCTAAACGCTGCCTATCCTAAAAGATTCTCTTCTTCCCCTTTGCTCTCGTTCTTCCTTCTCTCCTTTCCTTCCCCTTTTTTCCTTAAAATTGTCTGGTTTCTGGGTTACCAGACCTGACAGACTTACAAACTGACACTGTGACTCAAGAGCAAAGGTCCCACGGACCGCTCTGACAACCAACGATGACTTGACTGACATGACTTGACGGTTCGGATCTCATTATGACATTAAAAAGATTTGTCGGAAGTGAGTCATCGTGCTAAAATCAGCGAACCGTTGGAGAGAGAAGGACAAAGAGAAAACATTGTCTTCCAAAAGAGTGAGAACGAGAGATTGAGAGAGAGAGATCTGGAAGTTAAAGCTTTATCCAGAATTGGCCAGAACTCATATGCAACCTTTTAACTTATCTAGACCATCAATCGCTTGACGATGAGAAAACTCCTTGAGGCTATGTGGTGAGCAAGTGTCATTGCCTCTTGCAACAGCTACCTTCTAAGCCTCATCGCGTACGGATATTGTAGTCAGAGCAGCACTGCAGACTTGCTCCAAACATGAGAAATGGATTCAATTATTACAATGAGGGAATAGATAGAAAGTGAGCGAAGGTCTATTACATTTCAGGGAACTG